CGTTCAGCGGGGCGTTGCACAAGCATACGAAAAGGCGTGCTAGCACAGCATGATTGCCAGCTACACGAGCTGAAAAGTTGCCAAATGATCGAAAAGAACTTCATTGCTTCCGAAGGGAAGAGGGAAAGAAAAGAGATCGTGGACAAAGGTTGTACCATGTAAAGGTTGTCCTTTTGAATTTAATTTGACTTCTTTATTAATCAGCTGCCTGAATTTCTATCAGAGAGTGATAATCTGGTTCAATCGGAAAGAATATTACGTTCCAAGACACAGAGGAACGGTGAGGAAGGCTCTAACATAAGCATGATATGATAAGTATGTAATAATGGCGAGCGAAAACGAAACTGCATTTTAAAGGGTTAGGTGGTTCCTATTCCATGTTTCATGAAGGGAAACATGATCTAATCTTACATTCCCCAATGTTTGGATGCTGAGTTCTTTGCAAATTCGCCGCGATATTGCTGGCTGCGGCGGCTGGCGCGGCGACCTACTTACTGCCACGATTGAATCGTCACGCACCCAATTTTTTGACCCAAAACTACATGCAAGAGAATGTTTAACGGCCTGAAGAGTGAACGGCAACTTAATCAATTCTTAAAGGTATATAAAGTGCCGCTACCATAAGCACCACACAGAAGATCTGATACCAAATTTAGCCTGTATCGATAAATTAGAAGCACTAAATGCATTAGCAAAGAGTAAATGAGTAATTCACAAACCGTTGTCAAATCCAGTCTCGAAATCCAATTCTCTCCCTTCTTGTAATTCTCTCGTTACAAGCGTTCGCAAACATTTGCAAATATCTCCCACCACTGGGAAATAACGTTCGGTGCATATAAATTCGAACAAATATGGCCAAAGCAACTGAAATTGTTCCATATTTCACCAAACAATACAAGAGGGTGAACCATGTCCTAAGAAATAGGTTGTATAGTAAACTGACTTTATTAGCACAGACACATGTACTTGCGATCGTATGGAGCGCTTGGCCACACTGAGTGCGAAGTTGATTCAAACCAGCCACATCCACTTCTACTTTACGAGCCTGCTGTTAAAATAGGCGATTTGTGCACGAAACAGAAACTACACAGCGATGCAGACATGCATTAGTGAAGATTGCCACTGTACCTGAACCTCCTGCTCTGATGGCGGTACGAGATTTCGTACAAGAAATGCCGTCACATGGTCACCACCTTCAGCATCAACGTAAGCATGATCAGATAATGCCACACAGAGCTGTACAATAGCACGCTTCACCTGCAAGAGGCGATAGATGAAACTGAAATTCGGCGTAACAATGGAATTGCTGATATAAAATAGCTCACTCACCCTGATTGATGAATTGTTTTCAGCAGCTAGCAGCTTTCGAAGCCCCATCATCAATAGTGACCGTTTGTCTTCCATGTATTGGCCTTAAAAATAAAAAAAAACACTTATTTACAGTTAAATTATTTTATACTAGGAAAACGATATAAAACAACGAAGAGTACCAGCTGAATTGAGAAGATGTCGCAATACATTTATAGCTCCAAGCTTCTGCATATCAACGACACTTTGTATTTTGTGTAACAGGTAGTAGACAATTTTGTCGGCAAATCGTGTCGCTTGAAAAAAAAATATGTTAGAAAAAAGATCACTGAAAAATAATGTATGTCAACCATCCCACTGGAATGAAAACAGCTAGAGCACTGTACATAAGGAAACCTATGGTAAGAAAGTGACTGCACTATACCTGCCACGTGAAAACATCTGAATGCCTTCGCTGTGATTTTTGATAGCCGTCGGATTTAACGTCACACTAGAGTCATCCGGATCCAGGCATGCATTGGGAAATAGAGCATTCAACACATCCTCTACATACGGTTCCAAAGGGCATGACTCATTAGCGCAAGTTGCTTCCAGAAAACGGCAAACCGCCTGAAATCGAAAAGAGAAGGTCTTTTCGTGCAAAAAATGCAATGATAAGGAATGAATTTGTCAGTATAGTGTCAGCGCCATGTAAAAAGGTGCCGAATCAACCTTCTCTTCCAAGTTTTTTTCTTCAAAAGACTCTGAACTTAGGTTTCTCTATGAGGGCATTAATAGCATGACATCATGAAATTGCCTCTGTGTTGCAACCAAAGAGTGCCAGTTTTTAATTTTCGGCTATGAGAACTATCGTTTTGAAAGCTTATTTTATCATGGAGCATCAGTGGTGTCTCCAAATTGGAATTGACAAATTTAAAGCAATACTTTTGTTCCTGCAAATGAATGGCCATTGTCAGCAGGAGCGGAGAGGTTTCGCTTTTATTTCAATCAAGAAGAACTATGAATTGGATCGAATCAAGTCGAAGAGATGACTGATGCGTACGAATTACGAAAGAGGAAAAAAAAAAGCTTACTTTTGTGAATTGTATGTTGTTCTGTATACGCTTTTCTGTACAAGCCAAGAATCGTAGATACAAGTTTCTTGAGATCTTCCACAACTTTTTCCGGTTTTATCATCAGACATAGTTCCCCTACACATTCACCAGCTTCGGCACGAGTCTAAAAAAGAAGTTGAATTTGTCAAGCAGCTTTATGAAATTGGAAAAGATGACCTTCGGGTCTTTGCTGTACATCCATTGAAACACCACTTCATAAATTGCCTCAGCTTGATCTGTGTATGTATGCCGACTCAGCACTATGTGACGATCATTATCGTGCTCACGGCCTGGAGAAAGACTTGTGCCTGAATAGCTGACCCAATTTCCGCGAAAAATTTGGACTAGGAAAGTAAACTAATTATACGTGAAGTAATGGAGACCTCATAGAGATTTTTGCTCGAAAAATATACACTGCGTTTCATAATTATAGGTCCACCCTAAATTTTTGCTACCCCAAAGTTGCTGTGCATTTTTTGGAAATGCTGCTATCACCGTTAGATTCCTCATCACGGAAAACCTTCATAGTGTTTTTCTGACAAATTCCCCCTCAAGTAACCCAATTAACTTTTTTAGAACGAATTTTCACCGTTTCATGAATATCGGGCCACTCATAAAAAGTTTCCATTTCTCACGATCCGTGAAGGGAATCAGGGAAGCGGGGAAATATGTGGGCTCAGTCGACATCGAGTTTACCATACCTCGTGTTATTCGCCTCTCTTCCCAGTAACAAGCTCAAGCTAGAGCACTTACTGAAGTGGGATAGCTGAGGAGCAGAATTTCCTCCCATGTCGGCCGGCTCATACTGCATAAGCGACTATGTGCAAAATCCTGGTCAGTGCGGAGAGAAGAGTCGCTTAGGTAAATAAAGACTGCGTTTCCTTCAAAATTTAGGAGGAATTGGGTGTCTTCTCTCGAATTATACAAGGAGTCCGAACAAAGTCCGTACTGAAATGCGGCCTTCCGTGAGCAAAACCACCGTGTGGTGAGTAAGCCAGCAGAGCAATAACATCTTCAACGGATTGATGAAGAGCGTTCCAAGATTATTTGAGCGCTACAAGATCGCAAGTCTCCATTTCTCCGTGGAAAAGGGCTCAACTTAATGAGCGATGGTGTGGCTGTTAAGACCCTTCGCGATCTTGGACTCTACCTCCTTGTTTCGTTCTACAGGTGGTCTGAGATCGACGTGGAAAAGTTTATTCTAGGTGGATATGGCAGAAAAAGAGGGTACAGGATGATCGCGTGAAAATCGCAGATGGTTTCAATGTAACGTAATTTCGGCGGTGAATCCCTTATGGTTTGAGGCACCTTTGAACGACTGAGTAGCTAGAGCTCGCTTTTGTTTCCGTTCACAAAGATTCCACAGGGTATCGTGAAGTTCTTTTGAAGCGAGTCTTACCATTTTTTCAACAAGGATCCCCTCTATCCTTGATTTTCACACACGATAACGCGGCTGTCCATGCCGGTCCCTCCGCGCCAGATGGAATTGCAGGAAAAAATGTGGCAGTTATCTGGTGGCCACCATGTTATCTGAATTAGATTCCAATAGAGAATCATTGGGCCTTAATTGTTATAAAGTTCCACAGCAAAGTAAAGCAAAATGGAACAGCCGAAAAGCTGAAAAGGTCGATCATCGGCGCCCAGACGAATTTCGATCCTACTGTAATAGCTAATTTGGCTACCAGCATTTCAAAACGTATTATTGTGTTCCTTATGATTATTGGGGGGTCATCCCATTATTGAAAATTCGTGACGTTTTTTCGTTATAGTAAAATCTCTCGACAAGTGATGTGTAGTCATATTTGCGAAACGGTGAAAATACGTTCTAAGGAAGATATTTTAATAATTCTGAATCGAGATTTCTCCAGAAATCAAGTATCAAGGTTTTTCGTTATGGGGAAACTATTGGTAATAGCGGCATTTTCCAAAAATGCACAGCAACTTTGGAATAGCAAAAAATTAGGGGTGGACCTATATTTATGAAACGCAGTGTATGACTGACAAAACGCACCATCAACATCGCCTTCATCGGCCTCTTGAGGCCTCTCCGTTTCACATTCTCGAATGCATTCGCAGAAAGAGCAAATCGCTCGTGCCCAGGCCGATCTAAGATGAAAGATAGAATGTTATGAAGAATACGAAAAGAATAAAAGACTTAAGTGAACCTTAGTGGATCGCTGCGCACATGGCTCAACAGCGGTACAGTTCGCGAGAGAATATCAGTGAGAAATGGCACAAGTCCGAAAGCTTAAATAAGGAAATTTTGAAACGACGCCATCGACCGAGGAACCAACATTTCAAATAGAAATCATCCAAAAGAAGGGAAATTGGGAAAAAAACCTACGATTATGCTCTGCCACTGTCGCCATGGTTAAAACAATATATCGATGAGGGCTTGTAGTCAATCCAGGTTGAAATTTTTGTAGGATCGCGTCCATTACATGAGATACGAAACGAGGGCTTTTGGCTAATGTCACCAGCACAGTTTTAGCTGATTCGGCCCAGTCCGCGTCCGCCTCCTACAGAAGAACAACTGACAACAACTGTGTGGAAAACAGCGACAATATGAGAAAAATATGGCTCACTTTACTGGTCATGGTCATCTCTTGCGTGGCCAGGTTGATTATGAGCAGTACTAACTGTTCATCCAATTCATTGACGATCTTCGCGTCCGAGACCACACTGTCGATCGCATTCAGCACAAAGGCTTTACTTGGTGGGGACAACTAAATTAATGACAAAATTCCGTGCGTCCCTCTAAAGGGGTCTATTCCAGTTAGGGGGGGGGCATCATGATGCAGTTTCTCGGCGAACTAGTGTGAACTCGAACATTCCAGCTTTTCACGCATGTCAAGTGACTGCCCTCACCCCCACCCCCGTAGACTGGCTACACTCCCCCTGGCTCGGAGTTACCTAGCTTTCTGGAAAAACTGCATCATGATGCTCCCTAACTGGAATAGACCCGTGAAAAGAAATAGCAAAACTAGAAAAACTTACTTTAGGGTTTTGCAGCAAGTACTGGTGACACGCCGTGAGTAGGGTGTTCGGTTGATGGGCGCCTATTGACTTCAAAGAATCAAAAACCTGAAGAAAGCCGTAGATTTCGTCGAATTCAAAACAGTAGGAAATATCGGACTAGCCAAGCATGAACGAAAAAGTAGAATAAAAACCCACCTCATTTTTCACTTGTTCACAATTAGAGTAAGAGGAAGAACAATCCAACAACGAGGAGATTAAGTCTATAAAGCAGTTTTTCGATCGGAAATCCATTGAAGAACGGACGCTTCTACCAAACAAGGTCGAAGGAATTAACAATGAATTCTATCAGCAAAACATTCACACTGTTTCGCCATATACGAACGCATTTTCGCACCATCCATAATGATTCCCATACAATAAGAAATCGATCATGATCAATGAATGTCGCATGCTGTTTGGGAAATGAACACATAGTACATCCAAAAAAACACTCACCTCCCAAGCTTTGCACTTGAGCGACCATTATGACAATCCGTGTTCGGAATGAAGGGTTATTCTGCGAAAGCAGTTACATTGACGAGTAGAAGATGCGGAAACAGGAATGAATGTTTCCCTAAAAAAAAGTTTGAGGAGCAGTATGGAGAAGCAATGATGTTATCATAACGAGTTCGAAACAACAGGTAAGCGGGTGACCTGATAAGCGGCTAGCTCACCATGGGACATTGTGATAAGAAGTGCGCGTTGCCTGATGAAAAAGCTTAGCAAATATACTACGCTCTTTTTTCGAAAACTTCTAGCTCTTTCTAAAAAAACCTTGTTCGAAGCAGTGCTGATGATAACTACAGTAACGGTCAGAAAGGGCAAACAGCGCAGCTTAACATCCATAACTATACCTACAAAAACCGTGGTGTTATGATAGTGATATTCATTCAAGAGATGAGGCTGGAGCCAAAGTAAGTGATCCGTCGCGCGAACCGCAAATATCGCAATTGCCTCATTTGAACATTTAAGAGGGGGGGGGCGGGGGGGGGGGGGGGGGGGGAGGGGGGGGGGGGTCACTGAAATGTTAACAAGTAGATAAGACAGTCATCATTTAACCTTCACCCAAGCAGAAACGGCGCGCGATTTGGGACAGCACTCGCGGCGTGGATTTTTTTGGTAACTGGTGCGCCATTCGCCGATGTGCGGGGTGTCATGATTTCGGTCGAACTCTGACACCAGCCTAAGGCCGATGTCAGACTTTGCGAATCGCGCGATTCGCTAGCGTCTGCGGTCGCGTCGCGGCCAGTGAATCACTCAATTGGCTGGTACCGCAACGCGACCGCGGACGCTAGCGAATCGCTAGTAGCGAATCGCGCGATTCGCAAAGTCTGACATCGGCCTTTAAGGGGTGGTTCGTCAGAGTTGCGGATCCGTCGTGCGGACGCAGGCGAATGGCGCACCAGCTGTACAACAAATTTCCGCCAAACGCCGCGAAAAGCTGTCAATACTACGACAGACGGAGATCATTACGTGGCGCGCACAAGTAGCACTGATTAGATCAAAGCGTTTACTTGTCAAAGGGTTTGCACACGTATTAAATGGAATTGTAATCTTGTTAATATTCTAGTCTCTATCTTTTCTGCCCTTGTGGACTGACACGGCTAACAGCTTTTCTTGACCGACTCAGTAGAGAGAGTCAAAAAACTATGTGTTTGAATTTGGTAATACAGGGGGAGTTTTCAGGGTGTGAGCGCTATTCTAGTACGGTTTTTTGTGTGGTACAGCTCTTATTTGGGTTGCAAAAGTGAGGTTCGCTTCCGCTGAGCGACCCCTGAAGGCCACAAAATGACCATAAAGTGCTTGGAGTGGGTGGCTTTCACCAATTACCCGTAAGAAACGGAACGGGTGTCAGGTAAATAATATGACCCCCACACAGTGGCGCTGACGCTATATCGCAGCAAATCTACAAGCTCCAACCCAAAATGCAAAAATTGTCATCACAGGAGTTGAACCTTGGACCCTCCCTTCATCACTTTGGTCTTCACAGGGCCGCTCAATGAAAATGGAAATCGGTTTCACAGGACACTTTTGAGCCCCAAATTACATGCACGGAACCGCTTAAGAAAAGCGCTCCATAACCTATAAGACCTAACATGTAATATTTCATGCTTTAAAGTTACAACAAGAAATATCACACCCGTTTCTTGCATTCCATTTTCTACCCGGAGCCAGACTTCGCTCCCAGTACTTCAAATGGTATATAACTACAAAAGCAATTTTCTATCACTTCAAAACAACGACAGGATAAAAATCCAGCAAGCAGAAGAGAACATCAATTATGGAGGAAGACAAACTTAGAAACATGGGTCACGGAACGTCGATAGACCTGAATGCGAATGAAATGAAAATAAATCACAAATGAGAAAGCAGCCATTTTCACTGCATGCTAAAATCTCACTCTGAAAGAAAAAGGAAACATAACTAAATACATTCTTGGTGAACGACATCAAAAGTGGAATTGATCAATTCCATGCAAATCAGCCGGAGCATCTGTAGCACAATGTAAGACTATATTACGAAATAGCTGGTATTCAACACTACGAAAGATTGCCTAAGTGGGCCAGCTTATTTTTATATTAACTGGACACTTTACTTTCTTCGGAACGGCTTTTTACAATCTGTAATGAAGCGAAGCTACTCTTGCATCTCTGAAAGAATGTGCTAGAACATAAAATATAGAATCCAGGCTACTCATCACGAATATTCAAAAGCATGACCAATTTTTCAATCTCAATTCATCCAAACGGACTCCCATGGTTAAAGGACGCACCCATGAATACAGTAATGGCCATGGGGCAAGCAAACTTCCCTCTGGGGGGTCGTAGTTGCAATTTTTGGGAGAGGGGTCATAATTGGGATTGACGGAAGTCAAAAGCCAGGAAGGGAGTCGTATTCGCGGAAGCTGGAGGGGTCATGGTTGCAGAATAGGGCCGTTTTGACAGGTTTCCGGAAGTTTTGGCAAGTCTTTCAACCGCGCGCGTTTTTCGAATAACACCTGTCGGACCAACACCGTTTGAAACGATCGCAAAATGTCCCATGGTTGTCGATGCCCCTCGCGACCCTTTTTAAATAGGGTGAAGACGTAGAGATAAACAATTTTCTCTGACACATTTCACATGAGGGTTATTGATTGCCATGTCCACAAATATGACACTTATATGGGCCTCAATTTGACGCCAGACTGCATACTAGATATGGCACAATACCTGTTTACATCAAATTCGTGGGAGACATTTTAGAGATTATTCAGCATCCTAAGACCGATGCCACAGTTTGCGAATCGAGTGGTTCGCTAGCGCCCGCGGTCGCGTTGCGGCCAGCGGACCGCTCGATTTGGTACCGCCCGGCCGCGGACGATGCGAATCGCTAGTAGCGAATCGCTCGATTCACCAAGTCTGACATCAGGCCTAACGAACACAGAGTTTTGGCGCGAGCGCCAATGGTTCCATATGGCTACCAGCTACAATAATTGACGACAGTTGCTCTAACGCTGAAAATGACAATGCCACATTTCCGTACACTAGTGCCACTACATACATTCCTTTATGCAAGTTTTTTACAGCAATTTGACAAAAACAGGTGTTGCGCCATGTCTATGCAGCTTGAGCCAATTTGGCGCCCAGGCTTTAACAAGTTTGATCACGACAATCAATAATCCTTCATGGAAGGTTCCACGTAAAAAAAAACCGTTTCCTGGCAAATTAAGTTGTGGTAACCAAATTTCGAAGTAAGGTGGAATTGGTTCTTCATCAAAAGAAAGTGAAGTGTTCGAAGATCCCCACTGTCCAGGTTAGGCGCGAATCGATATGTTTACGAAGATTCTATCGTCGGAAAAACATTTTAGAAAAACATGAAATCTGCCCACAAAATTTTATCAAAGCCGTAAGGCCACCTGTTTTTCCAGAAGGCTGACCCTGCGCGACATTTTCTAAAGTGGACATCTCCTGACAGCCACTGATGGCTGACATTGCTCGCCGAAGGTTACAAAAATAGCTGGGCGAAACCAGATCGTTAGTCGTTTCTCGAGCCTCACTCTTGTCTCGGTTAATTCTGTCTCACAGATGCTCTTGAATGGTTTGACGGAACAGGCCTCCTCATAACTGCCCGTTGAAGCACTGTCACTCAATGCAGTGCCCAACATTTCCTAATTTCTAATGCTTAGAAGGGAGAGGCGAAGAGGGCGAGGCCATTCGGCCGCAGCCAAGCGCAGGAAAACCTCGTGTAAGCATCTTCTATCTTCCAAGAAAAAAAAAGACCAGCCCATGAAGGTGGTGAAAGGTGCGAAGAAACAACTGTGAGCCACAATGGACGAAGGATTTCGGCTTAGCCGTATTGTGGGTACCACTTCTGCAATCCCTTTTGCTAACAAAGCGCCTCAAGTGTAACCGTAATAGCTTCAACCTGCGGCATTTGGAAATCCAAAGTTTGGGGTTTATGATCTTAAAATATTGCAGCGTTTTCTCCTTTTTGATAGAAGTCTACCTCGAATTTCCGTAACATACGAATTGGTGGTCATACACGAAAAAATACTTATTTGTATTTTGTGCTGGAAAAGCGCCATCAGAGCAAGTTCGAATCGATCCATATAACTTACAAAGCCCGTCGTGTCGGAGCTAGGAAAGAAGGCGAGTTTTCAGCCAAAAAATCGCCTTCTGTTCTTTCTTTTTTTTGGTATTTTTTTTTTTTTTCTCTCGGAAAACCATAGAACCCACATCCCTGTTCTTATGCTGCAATACGAGCCTGGTTAATCGACCTCGAAGCAGCGTCAACCCTACTGTCGGTACTTTTTTGAAGTTTTCACACCTCCCTCCTTTCGTTCACACAGGGGGTGTATCAAGGCCTTTTCGTAGATTGCCTTGATGCAACCTCCTGTGAACGAGTGCATATGGAAGCAGTAACTTACACATGGACGGGAAAGAACTCGGGGTGCGGGAGTACTTCCGGTTTTCCCGGTCTTCTTCTCTAAGCAAAAAGATTCAATGAAATTTGCACCTGCCTCTTCGCCGGCGGTCTAATTCCTACGGCTTTCGAGAATGGGCGATTAAGCGTAAGCAAGATTAGGGAAATCTCAAACGGGGTTGCTCGTTTCAAAAATCGCTGGATCTCCTTGCATTTGAAAAAACGAGCAAGTTTAGCACTTTATTCCGCGATCATGAGAGTTTTTTGTTTACCTCCGAATCAAAACTTCTCAACTCCTTCAAAGTCATTATTTGGGAAGATGAAGCCAGTATGACAAACTGCAAGGTTTA